TTTCATAATTCCGCGATTGAAGAAATCCTCGTCCCTAGTGGTAAAAAACTTGACCAGCTCATTTTCACAGGCCTCTCTTGAAGCCAGTTTTTTACCATCAAGAAGATTTTGCAAATGTTTGAAAAGGTGATAATCGCTTGGTGCCAGGTCTGGACTATACGGTGGGTTCGATATAACGTCCCATCCAAGCTCTCGGATCTTCTGGCGCGTTGTTAAAGATGTGTGCGGTCTGGCGTTGTCTTGATGGAAAACAACACCCTTCCTATTGTCCAATTCTGGACGCTTCTCGTCGATCGCCTGCTTCAATCTGGTCAGTTGTTAACAGTATATGTCCGAATTGAGTGATTGGTCCGATAAAAGCAGCTCATAGTGGAGGATTCCCTTTCAATCTCACCAAACACACAGTAAAACCTTCTTGATCGTTAATCCGGGCTTGGCGATCGTTTGGGCTGGCTCACCGCTGTTGGACCACGATCTTCTTCGCGTGTTGTTCTCGTATGTGACCCATTTTTTATCCCCTGTCACCATCCTCTTAAAAAATGGGTTGATTTCGTTACGCTTCAACAAAAAATCACAGACATCAATTCGCCCCAAAAGGTTCTTTTGCGTCAATTCGTGTGGCACCCACGCATCGAGCTTCTTATTGAGACCAGCTTTATGCAAATGGTTCCAAACGGTTTTCTGGCTAACCTTTAGTTCCTAGGCAATAGAATAAGTGCTCGCATGTCGGTCTGACTCGACGATTTCCATGATTTTATCAACGTTTTCGACGATTGGCCTACCAGAGCATGTCTTCACCTAATATTACTTTACGACATTCGAACAATCGTACAAGCAAACACTCTCTCAATAAAACGTCTGCGTGTCAAATAAATAGTATTGTATTCTATCCCATTTTTTGTTTATTTTCGGCATTTGCCATTTATTTGCGTATCAATTAAGTTTTCCTGAAAAATTAAAAATGATTAATAACTGAGGTTCATTTTGTAGCTTTCATTTTAGAAACCGTATTAATTTAGTCGATTATATTTTATTCAATGTAAATCAGTGACTTACCTGTCTTGCTTTTGGTACAAATTATTTCTTGAATACTTTCTTATTCGGTTCAATAATGAAAACGAGCGTTCAGCACTACCGTTTGTTTCCGAGATGTTCCTAAAAATGTTTAACGTTCGGTTTTCAGTAATTCCTATCAATGTCCGAATTCTTGTAGCTTTGGTTGTAGCAGATATATCATTAGTCAGTTTTATTTGATTCAGTGTAAAATAGTGACTTACTTGTCCTGCTTTGGTGCAAGTTACTTCCCGAATATTTTTTTATTCGCTTGTTACATTCTCTATTTTGTTTGTTCATTTTCTAAGACGTCGAAGTCTCGACACTCGGTTTGTAATGATTCCTATCGATATCCATTCTCTTGTAGCTCTATGGTTTTAATAAATTTATTAATTGGGATTCATTGCGTTTGATTTGATGTAAAACAGTGACTTACTTGTATTGTTTTGGTGCAAATTACTTCTTGAATACGTTCGCTTCAATACTAAAAATAAGTCGTCCATCACTAGCGTTTGCTGATTTTCTAAAACCCTCTTAAAGACAACGTTCGGCATTCGGTTTGTAATCATTCTTATCGATCTCCAATCTCTTGATGAATACTCTTCATAAATGAGTTCATGCATTTTCAGTAACTTCTATTTATATGTTTAATATTCGGATAGATCTTATTTTGCAATTATAACTACGTTGTTTTTTTATAATGTTAGTGAGAATGTAAGTTTTGAAACGTAGTCCTCCAACTTGCGTCTAGTACACCTCGGTAATTGCATACCTGCACAGAATACAATTTTATTATGCAAAATAAAATGTTTGTAACAGCAATTTAGAAATTTAAATCTAGGCTTGTCTTCTAAAACTTGATCATGTATGATTATTGCAATTAATTGTATTATCGGAACAAAAGTGAAGTAACCAAAGATTGTAGTAGGCTAATAT